GATATGTGACAGATAAGGTTTTAGTTGGGGGGGGGGGATGGGAGGACGGGGGGGGGAAGGGAACTGGGATTGTCATCTAAAACAATCCTGTTTCTAATTCAAAAAAAAAAAAAAAGTTGGAAAAAAAAGAAGTGAGTCTAGAACACTGTGTTCAGTTGTTTACTGATGAAATCTTTCTTGTAGACAACACCGATTGTTGGTTTAATTGAATTTTGTTACTTAGGAGAGATAGAAGGGACCAAAGCTTAGTGCTGGATCTGCGTCATTGGGATTGGGTGCTTTGGTTTATATCAAATATGCCATTTCATTCTTTACCTGTCATGGCAAAGTAGGCAAAATTATCTTGCCAGATATTTTCTATCTAACTATCAGACAGAAAACTCATCAAGTTTTGTGGGTTGTAGAGTACTGCATTTGAGTTCATTCCCCAAATGACTGAATTACATTGAACCCAAAGTTAAAATAATTTTTTTGAGTTGCACATAACTTGTTCATTATGACGCTGTTTAAACTTTCAGTATTTATTTGAGGAAATTTAATGTTATATTGTGCTATATTAAATTTTCAATATTTATATGCATGTACATTTAAAAGTGAAATAATTTCATATACCCATCTAATAAACATTAAACCTATATAACAAATAAATTTTGGGTCATAAAGGTTGGAAATGTGTTTCATAAGTAAAATAAAATCAGAGTTCATCTAGCAACTTCTATTTAACTCTGCATTATATGGTATTTGCACTATAAGATTTGAATGTACAGTAACTAAAGACTATGTATGGCTCAAATGAAAATATAAAGACAAAGAGGATTAACATCTTGGTAGGGGACCGTAGTGAGAGGTGCCCCTGTTGTTTGACTCCTAAGAGAACTAAAATGGCCAGGATACTTAACTGAAATCAAAGGAAATATTCACAAACTAGCAAGAACAAAGTCTGCAACTACAAGAGCACAAAACTCAGTAGAGAATCAGACAGTCCCTGTACAAAGTCTTAATTCTTATAGCCAAGACAAGGTTTGTTTTATGACTGCACTCTTAAAAGGAAGAACTATATGTGAAGTGTCAGTGTCAGACAATTCAGTCTGTGTTATTATTGCCACTGGTCTTCAGATGTTCTCATCACAGAGCAGACGCTGACACCATTCCCACACCCTGAGTGGATGCTAAGCGTGGCTGACACCTGTCGTATTTGCTATCATAATTTCTCAATAAATGAACAAAGAAGACACTTGGTTACTGATATTGGAGTCAAACTTCAAACCAAGCAGAAACCACACCCCCTGCTTCTAACAGCTTAAAGACAGGTTTATTACACAAATACTGGCAGATGAAATTCAATTGTGATAAGCAGGCAGACATACGAGCTCTGTGAGAATCCCCAGTGCTGGACATCTCTGAAGCCATGCACAAAACACTACCCAATTCCATGTGCTTAAGTCTCGGGATGATAAGAAAAATATGTTTTCAATCTTTCTCCCAATGTATTCATCTCAATATGAGAAGAGATACATCTCATATTAATACTTAATTTATAAATACTCATGAGCTCTATTAAAATTCTCTGGCAAAATTCTACCATGCTTTGCTTCCAGTGGACTCTAGCTGGGGGTTTGGCAGGCTCTGTCTGATTAGCAGCTTTTTTTCTTCCCAATCACGTTACTGAGCACACCCAAATGGAGTTCTCCAGACTCACTGTTTAAAACAGAGTTCTTTACAAAGTATCTCTGAAGCTTGTTTACACTATCTAAAGGAGATACAATGTAAGGAAATGGAGTGTAACAGAGAAATGTGAAATGTTTCTAAAACAAGATCACTCCATGTAAAGTTATCTTGTGTCTTCCTATCTGCAAATGAAAGTATTAAACAGCTGCTGCTTCTTTCTTCTTCTTTTTCTTCTTCTTCTTCTTCTTCTTCTTCTTCTT